CAGGTAGAACTCCAGGTGCTTGAGTCTCAAAGGCCAGGTACACAGGAGCATCTGATATGTAATGGATACTTCAGAGGTGAAATATTACATAGACACCAATGCCCCACGTCAGTTTTGAGTGTGGGACTGTTCTTGCTCACTCCTGCTCTTCACGGACCTATCACTCTTTTTTCTTTTCAGTTCCAACTCAGTCCATACAAAAGCAGCTTGCCTGGTGTCCCTGGGTCACCTCCACCTCTCTGCACTCTGAGACCCAGGACCTCTTTCTCACTTAGCCCTTTCCTGCATCCTGGACCTTTTACTGTACTCTCAGCTAGTGCTGGAATCCTTTCTCCCGCTTGCTTTCCATGCCACCATCTGGTTTCAGAGATTTTCTCCTCCCATCTCCCCCATTATTCTTGAGCGACTGAAGTACACGCACCAAGAATGCCTCTGAAAAGAAAGGCACCCTCTCGGTTCACTGTTACAACAACATTGCTTCAGTCCCCCAGCAGAAGAGTAGATAAGAAGCTGGACATAAAGTAGGACATTAGGAGTATCCAGAACTTGGCAGCCAAGGATGACAAGATCATTGATGGTGAAATCCTGCCAAGCTTCTCGATGAAGAGTAAAATGAAGAAACAAAGTCCTGGGATATGAAAAATAAATTATATTCCTTAGAATAGCTAAACACATCTCATAATTCTGGGCCTTCTTTGGGATCTGTACAAACAGTGGGGAATGCTATATATAGTTTACATTTATAAGCCAAAGACTTGCAAATATCTTATTAAACTGTATTTACATATTATAGCTGTGACATTTTTGAGTGCACTCTACAGAGATCTCTGAAAAATATATGTCTCCAAGATTGAATCCTGCAGCGGGGGACATGATCACTAAACCCTCACCTTGGACATATTTCCCTTAAACCTTCTCTGCTGAACTCATAATTGTGCTGATTAAACTTGGTAGTGTTGATTAAGCCTCTGCGTACTCTTAGGGACTGTCCAGAGAACTCCGTACCTTAGAAGAAAGGAAGAAAAATCTTTTTTAAGGCCCACAAGAGGCAGGAGTCAATATTTTCAGCCTTGGAATCTGTTCTAGCTTCTTCCTATTTCACTGAGCATTGGGAGTTTTTGTAATGGCCAAAACTTGATATCTTTACATAGTTATTTGATTTTTAAAAGTGTGTTTACTAGTTGGCGTTACAAGATGTGAAGTGTCTTAAGGCATGTTTTGTGTGGTTGGCATGTCCTCAAATTCCGTCATCCTGCAAACATTTCTACAATAGAGAAGATGGTCACTGGGTGGCCATCCCATGGGAGCAGTATTCCCAGGAAAGGTTTTAGATGGAGCCTGGTCAAAATCCTCAGATTCACACAGCATTAGCTCATCCTTGGTCGTTTGTGTCCTTTCAAAAGCAATTACACATTTTTCCTGAAGGCCACTGATACTCTGACTAATCGTCTGTACCAATATTTCTTCTCTTTTCCTTCTAAACTATTTGTTACACAGTTAAATGTTAAGTTATGGTTTAAATGGCTTGAAGGTGTTCTGTTGCTTCCAAATGCATTAGGTACTGTCTGCCAAGTTCTCCTAAAACTACTGCTTATCGCTGGCTTCAGATGTTAGATGTTGACTTCTAGATGTGGCTCTTGTGCAGGAAATCACCTCCATTAGTACAGTTTTCTCTTGGAAACTCTTTGTCTGACACAGGTGGAGTCCTTCACTCCAACACTGATGGTCCACCAATTTGGACAGCTTTGGAGGAATTCATGGAGAAGGTTGTTGGTGGCCGATGGCTCTGTTTCCTTCCATGGCGGAGGGTGCCTGTGAACCCCAGTTGCTGGGGACCTGTTGTACTCATGCCTTGCTTGTGGGTTCCCGAGGGCAGCTGGTCGGATGAGATGAGCCCCTGGTTGGACCCAGCCTGGCTCTTCTTAGGATCTTACCCTAGATATTTTTTCCTGTGCATTTTCTATAGAGAGATACATGTAGGTGATTATCTGCCCAGCCAAAGCCACAGTTCCTTTGAAATGCCACAGCTTTAAGAAGCATAGAAACAGGGTGAGTCAGAAGGGGTCTCCTGGGCCATCTAGTCTGACCTCCAGCTCCAGCTGGCTCCGCTCACGACATGCCCACCATGTGCATGTCCAGCCTATCCTTGAACACCCTCACCGATGGGTCCTCAACCACCTCTCGTGGAAGCCCATTCCACACCCTCGGGGTCCCGACTGTCAGGAAGTGCTTCCTGGCATCCAAATGGAAGGTTGGCTCCCTGAGCTTTGCTCTGTTGGAACTCATCCTATCCTCCTCTGCAGGGGAAAATATACAAAGAAGACATACTTCATCAAGATTGTGTGTTAGGTTACAGAAATTGTAGGACTATATGTAGTATATATGTGTAATTGGACAATAATATTACATTACACTTCTATACCTTCTGTATCTGGGTGGTTCATAACATTTAGGTCACCCATCCAGATTTCAGCCAGTCCTGACCCTGCTTAGCTTCCAAGATTAGGCAGGATCAGGCACTCCAGACTACTTTTGCTGCTGTTCCATTCAATCTGTTGCATAAGCAGGACCTCCACACCGCCAAACACTACTAGTTCAGAAAGCGACTTAGGAAATAATCAGAAACACTCATTTCCAGGTTGGGATAGGTCAGTGGAGTGTCCTTCCAGGAGTTCCACTGCCCTGCCTGGCGTTGGAAGCAAGCGTTTCTGCTTATATCTGGGTATTCCTGGCATTGCTAGCTAGCCTCCCATTGTGCTTGCAGTGGGAAGAACTGGATGTTCCCCTGATTATTTTCCTAGCACTTACTAAGATATAAGGGTAAGTACTTACTGAATGGGGCTGCAGGTGGCGCAGTGGTTTAAACCGCTGTGCTACTGGCTGGTTGATCGAAAGGTCGCTGGTTCGAATCCACACAACGGGGTGAGTTCCCGTTGCTCCGTCCCAGCTCCTGCCAACCTTGCAGTTTGAAAGCATGCAGATGCAAGGAGATAAAAAGGTACCACTTTGGTGGGAAGGTAACGGCGTTCCTGCACCTCGGTGTTTAGTCATGCCGGCCACATGACCACGGAGACCGTCTGCGGACAAGCGCTGGCTCCCTCGGCCAGGAAACGGAGATGAGCACCGCCCCCTAGAGTCAGGCATGACTGGACTTTAATATCAAGGGGAAACCTTTCCCTTTACCTTTTTACTTACTGAATCTACCCAGAGTGTGATTGCTCCTCTGTTTACACCCAGTATGATGCAGCGACCCATAGACGGGGTGTAGGCTAGCCCAAGGAGCCAGTCTAGCTAAGGCTGGTTCTTGCCGCAGCCCTTGTGTCTTCTGCCCACCCCTTTGCCAAACTCTGCCTGGATTGCTCCACAGCTTGTTTACTGGCTTGTGAGACTGAGAGTTAAAGGAGCGTGTGCCCCCTGGTTTGAAGAACATTAATCTCGAGAAGTTGTCACCTGTTACCTGGGGAAAGACTTCTACCTTCACAGGGCTGACTATGTGCTGGATTGATTGTGCCCTGGGGGGAGGTTAAATTGATGCCATGAAGAAAAGTAGCAATTTTGAAGAGCAGCATCTTGACGACTCTAAGAGCCTGGGATAGCATTATACAGGACCGCAAATGGACTGGCACCATTCATGTCCTGGCTGGGTGGCCTTCCCTTTGGGACAGAAAATAACTCTGGGTTTGTTATGAACACCCCTGTTTACTGTCAGTGTCCCAGAATGACTCAGAACTGATGGCACCGGCCGGTTTTTGCTAATGCTCTGTGTGCTGACACTGTTATCCCTGAACCACTCGATCGGCCTCTCACCGGGACAGGGAGGAACAGGATAGAAGTGTTCAGAGATGGTTCCAGAGGGTAGAAATGCTGAAGCCCCCCTTTGGCTGCGATCTCCAGACTGCCGGGATCCAAACCATATTTTAGCGTCTAGTACAAAATGGTAACTTAGGCATCCTGCACATCCTGGAACACAGAAACACGCTCACATTTTTTAAAAAATTGAGCTCTTGAATAGGAATGCAAGACTTCTTCTTTGCCTGCAGTTCAGAAAACAATATTCCCATTCTTTCAATGCCTGCACCCTCCACTTCAGTGTTTGCATGGCTGGTAGATTCCTCTGTATTTAAGGAGACCTCTTCACGAACTATTACACTCACCTGAAATCTCCTCCATCTGTTGTTCTCGGCGGCTTCTAGTTCCTTGCCTGCCTTCCTGTTAATTTGCTTCTCTCCACTTTTGTTAGTTCTTAGGTATGTACATCAGGGTTACAGAATACTGGCTGGGGATCAGTAAAGATGCACAAACTTCATCATTTTTAAAAAACTTAAACCTTCATTGAGTTTTCAAAAAAATGTGCTTACAAAAAGGAAATTAGCATTTCAACAAGAACATCGATGAGAGTAAGAGTTATGAAATCGCTATGAGAAGGTGTGAACGCTGGACACTGAAGAAAGCTGACTGGAAGAAAATTGAGGTGTTTGAAACATGGGGCTGCAGGAGAGCTTTGTGAATGCTCTGGGCCAGCAGGACAACCAACAAGCCGGGCTTCTCTTATTCGGACTGGGCCTTGCCAACCAGTGGCCTCTCTTTGCTGCCGGCGTTTCGCACGCCTGCTTCCTTGGCTAGAAGAGAGCTCCACAGACAGGCCTGGTCCCAATTCCCGCACCCAGGGCTCGCCATTCGAGCCCCGAGGCTCTTGCACAGAGGCCCTGGGTGTCTGGTCGAGGCTGAGTGACTTCTGATATTGATGCAAGTGCCAGATTGAGCTGGAAAATGAGAGCCCCGGAGCCGGCGTGCGTATTTTAATTGCTGTTCGGCATGCGGGTGCTAAGTTTAGACTGAGAAATGGCTGTTGACTCACAGTGGAGGATAAGGTGCACCAATTCCGGCTGTCAGGTGCCTGGGGGTGTGCAACGCCCCCTCCCGCAGGGGGGGAGGCAAACCTCTCCGCCTTGCCCACGGTCTATGTTTAGTAACCTTCCCTTTCTCCTCTTTGTCTCCAGCATTCTTGCGACGGCAGGGACTCATTTCAACACCCATGTGGACCTGCGGACGCTGCGGGCAGTCCGAGTGCTCCGACCCCTGAAACTCGTCTCAGGCATTCCTAGTAAGCATTCGGCGCTCCCTCTGTCCCTCTCCGCCTCCTTCCTGGAAGAGCAGTGCCGGCGTTTGCCGCACATCCTGTGCCGTGCTCAGGAAAGGGCTTTGCTGCAGGAGATGCCCAAACCCTTTGGGGTTCACTCTTCAGGGGTCCTTCATGGTTAAACAGGGGGTGGCTCCAAACCTGCCAGCCCTTGGGGGCCTGCTGGAATGGGGCACAGGAGGGGGAGAAAGGCACCTGGGGGCCAGAAGATGGACGGTGGCTGCACCTGGTGGCTCCGGTGTGAAATAGGATGGAGGTGGGAATGGCACGAATAGCAGAATCTCCACGTGGCCCCTGGTCCTGCAGATGTTGGGGAAGGAAACGAAAGCTGTCGGAGAAGCCAAGGAGGTGAAGTGGGGACTTGGTACCCCAACGGATGGCTCCGCCTCAGAGTGGTGCTACTGTGTCAGCCAGCGGTGTGCGTTGCCCTGCCGAGCAGTGAGAACTGCTTTCCCACCCAGGCCTGATGTCCTGATCAAACATCCGGGGAAGCAGGACATGTCTGAGGGGTGGCCGGGGCACTGCTGTCAGCCCTGGTGGACTGTGAGAAGCGAAGTGGGGAGGCACTGAAAGGCAAGCCAGCCCCATCGTGGGCAGGCGTATCGGGTTAGATGGCTGCTCCCTCTTGTCTCCAGAAGGACCAGTGGCCGAGGCTGGGGAGCCTGGCCAAAATTTTCTCAGGATCCAGCGCATAAACCGTGGCTGAGTCAGCCATCTGCACCTCCTGCTTCTGCATAGTGAAGTGCGTGTCACCAGCCCCTTGCTGGAACACGTGGGGCAGCATTCAGGCCACCGGGCGCCTTGGGAAATGTAGTTCCCAGGGTTCCCGATGCCCTTAGTAATGCCACAGTGGGGCAGCAGTGTGGTGGGAGCGAACTCTGAAGGGTTCTGGTTCTAGCAAGCTCAGAGTGTGGGGCTTAGCCTTCCAAAACATGCATTTCAAAGCCTCCCCTTTTTGCAGCCCTCTCCATCAGGGAACTTTCACGAGGCAGGCATTTACCCTGCATCCAGGCGCTGGGTCTTCCAAGGGCTTCTCTGTGAACTCTTACCCTCCCCTTGAACTCCTTGGAAAACTTTTTTTGGCCCACAAGCTGAGGGTTGTAAAGCCATCGGAACTGTTTCCCATGCAAGCATCTCTCTGTCCTGCAGATGCATTTGGTCCCTGTGGCACATTGTCTCCTGGACCTCATAAGATGCTCTGGGACTGCCCAGGTGGCTAGACAATCCTTTGCCTTGGGAATGATCACCCGGTCTCGCCTGCCTTGTCTCCCCAGGCTAAAGCATTCTGGTAGCCAGCTTGACTGGCTTCTGCCTGCAAGGAATGCTTCCCCTCCTCCTCCTCCTCCTCACCCAGGTGCTTCTCCTGCAGCAGGGGGATGCTGGGCTGGCTGGACCCCATAACGGCACCGCTTTGTAACTGGCCCTTTCCCCTTTCTCCTCCTTTCCCCCAAGGTTTACAGATTGTGCTGAAGTCCATCATGAAGGCGATGGTGCCTCTCCTCCAGATCGGCCTGCTGCTTTTCTTTGCCATCTTGATGTTCGCCATCATCGGCCTGGAGTTCTACAGTGGAAAGCTGCACCGGGCCTGCTATGTGAACAATTCGGGTGAGGACTGCTCTGTGTTTCCATCCTTCCTTCCTTGTAGATCCTGGATTTCCCACGGCAAACACTATGGGTAATATCCTGTTGGATGGCACTGATGGGGTAAACAACAACAGCAGCAACTCTACGTCTATTCTGCCGTTTTGCTCTTGCACGGAGCCCAAGGCAGCTTACCTAGTTCTCACAACAACCCTGTGAGGTAGGCTAGGCTGAGATTGAGTGCCTGGCTTGAAATCTAAGGCTGAGAGGGGACTCGAGCCCCAGTCTCCTGAGTCGCACGCCTGCAATTTTAACCGCTGCACCACACTGGCTCTCAAGTAAGACCAGGCTTGGTAAAGCCAGCCTTGAATGTTAGGTCTAGTTGGCCACTAGGTGATGATTCTGTGCTGCTTTGACTGCTTGCATGTAATTACACATTGAATGTACCCACATATTAGAAAAATCCCTCCAGAGAGTATTTCCTCCAGCGAGGAGGCTAGGCTCAGACTCTTCTCCATATCCTGATTGTTTCGTGATCGAGTGATTTTGTTTATATGAGAAGCGCTTAATCCTGTGACCCCAGCCTGCAGTCCACAGCCCTGACACGGCCTCGCCACCATTGTGAGAACTCAGCCCAAGCCATGGGAAGCCGTCAAGCTAATGGCAGACGCCGTTCTGCCAATAAAGAGCACCTAAAAATAAATAAAGAGCACTGAGAGCCAGTGTGGTGTCGTGGTTAAGAGTGGGGACTGGGACTCAGGTGATCTGGGTTCGAGTCCCCGCTCGGCCATGGAGCCAACTGGGTGACTTTGGGCCAGTCACAGACTCTCAGCCCAACCTACCTCACAGGGTTGTTGTTGTAGGGGTAAGATGGAGGAGGAGAATGATGTAAGCTGCCTTGAGCCCTTTGTAGGAATAAGGCAGGATATAAATTGAAAATAAATGAATAAATAAAAAGAGCACAAGGAGGTTCCCCCTTTCCCTGCAGTTTGCAACTCTGTGGGATCTGCATGGATAAAAAGGAAGAGAGGACGTCATAAAATACAATTGTCACCATTATTGGGTGGACTGTGATCAGGAACCCATTTTATGGTTGCTTGCTTGCTCGCTCGCTCACTCTGCTGTCCAAGTGTCTTCAGCTTATTCTTAAAATGGACTTGGACTGGACAGCTTTAATGTACACGGTTATCTTCTGCGAGCCCTTCCAAAGGTGCCCTATCCGTTGTAAAGAAGGATGCACAGCTATCTTGCCCATGTACAGGTTGCAAAAAGCCATCTCTGTCCAAGAGTGTCCTAAAACTACCCCTACCCCTCCCAGCTCTTGCTGTCCCAAAGGAAAACACCCCAGGACAACTCCTGGTACTTTTAAATAGCAAATTTAAATTCCCATGGAAATGCCCTTACATTTTGCAGACTTGACCCTAAGTCACTCGCGCGCGCACGCGCGCTCTCTCTCTCATTCTCTCTCTCTCTCTCTCACCCCGCACTTTGGAGGCTCATTAAACCTAGCCAGGAAAGGAGGTACCAGGAGACAGTTTTGCTTTGTTTCTTTGGGAGCTGCTGTTTTTATTCCTGGAATGTGGGCGGATGTTTTCATGGCAGTACTGATCCTTTGGGCATCAACATTAACCGAATCGTTTTACAATGGGGCTTTTTAGAAAGGGAAAGATCCTGCATTCTTGAAGCAGTGTTCCAGCAGAGCTGCACAGAGAAAACCAGAGTCATTGAAAATCTACCACTACCAGATGGTATTTGTGGTTGTAAAGTTTGTGTTTATATGGCAGGGGTAATTAGGGGAACCACTGTTTTCACTTTGCAGGCTCAGAAGTCTAAATCACCTAAGGTGTGATGCATAGGCAGAAAAAGACCTACAACTTCCAGGATGTTCCAGACAGCCAACAGCTCTCTGCTGCAATTCTGCTGGGAGTTGGAGGCTTTTTTTTCTGCCTAAATATTCATTGGATGGTGCCCTCGTACTACAAAATCTCTACATAAGGGTGGGGCTAAAAGGGTGGATGTCAGTTCAGCTCTTAGTAGCTTTCGCTTAGTGCTGGGGAGGAATAAATGAACTGCAGTTGTCTGGATTGTTAGAGGAGGAGCAGTGCCAACGGCTTCCTGAACTTGGAGACTTGGAAGGGCGGCAAGGAAGGAAGTAGAACTGATCTTCAGGTGTGGGGATGTTTCACTGGAGACCAAGGCCAAGGCCATCCACACTGTTGTATCCTCAGTCACTGTATATCGGTGTGCAAGCTGGACAGTGGAGAAAGCTGGCAGGAAGGCGGCTGATGTTCTTGAAACATGATGGTGGAGGAGAGCATTGTGAATACAAAAACTGAAAGCAAAACCAAGTGGGTTCTGGATCCCATCAAAGCAGAGCTTTCCCTAGAAGCAAAACTGACAAAACTGGGGACACCAAATATGAAATCCTGCATTCAATAATGTAGGTTGATACGAGCAGTTTGATTCTTCCTTGGAAAGGTTAGTATGGGAAAGTGTGATCAGACATCTTCTTTCAGGGCGAGTGGAACTAGTGGCCTTCTGCCAAGGAACCCCTTTTTCAGGGGCCACTTGGTCAGGTTGTGGGACATAGAGGCAGCTCATATAAAGAACTGGCCGGATCTGGTGGACCTCCTCGTAGCTGCATGGGCACCGGGACCACACCCTGAGACATGTGGTTGCAAGGCAATGAAGGACAACGCGGCCTTCCTTGATCTTCTCAACAAAGAACCCCCCGTAGCTTGGGTGCCCTTGGCATCATGCCCTGCAGTGGGACTCACACACATCCCCAACTGGGGGTGCCTTCCCCTCATGCCATCCAGGAGAGGTGGTGGACGGAGGAAAGGTAACAACCATAGTTTAGAATCATAGAATAGAAGAGTTGGAAGGGGCCAAGAAGGCCATCGAGTCCAACCTGCTGCTGTTGCAGGACACCAAGTCACACCCTCCCACTCGGGGAATGTCTCCAGTGTAGGAGAGCCCATCATCTCTCCAGGCAGCTGGTTCCACTCACCTGCTCCCTCGCTTCTGATCAGCAACTGCTGTCAAGGAAGACTGGAGGTGCCAGTGGCGCAGCTGGTGCTGTTTGCAGTCCCCGTTGCTCCTTGCCGCCATAATGGGCAGCCCAGGGGTGGTGGCGACTAGCAGCAGCTGCACCCGCAACCCGCTCTCCATGCCTGCCGGGCCTTTGTGCTCATGAGGAGCGAGCAAAGAGCCGCACAGCTCCTCGCCCTCGCTCTGCCTCCCCCCGGCTTTGGAGGAAGGTGAGGAGCCGCCCCCACAGTGGATGGAGGCTGGAGAGGTGAGTTCCGGCCATTCAGACAGGAAGAGGCGGCTCCGCACTGCCGCAAGGGGGCAACAGTTGCTTGGCGATCCCACCTGCCTTCGGATGCCTGCTTTTCACGCCCTCTCCGTGGATCACCAGCTTCACTTGGATGCCGCTGAAACCCGAAGGCCTAAGAACCCTCTGCTCTCCTGTGCCTTTCACGGCAGAAGTCCACGGTGCCTTTTGTTCATCTCTGTCCCATCTGGCTTAATCCGTGCAGGTGAATTGCAAGAGCTGGACCCTCCTCACCCTTGTGGGGTGCAAGGATGCCCTGCGGGATACGAGTGCAGAGACTGGATCGGTCCCAACGACGGGATCACGCAGTTTGACAACATCCTCTTTGCCGTGCTGACCGTCTTCCAGTGCATCACCATGGAAGGGTGGACGACAGTGCTATACAACGTGAGTAAGACTCTGGGGGCAGGATGTGATGCCCTGGTGGGAAGCGGGGGGGGGGGGGGGCACCAAACTTGCTTGTCTAGAAAGTGCCAGCATGGGCCTTGGATGGAACCAAGCAGATTCAGACCGGCGGGATGCCACTGACGGATGCTAATTTAGACATTCAGCTTACCTTCCTTTTGCTGCTTTTGGTTTGCTTTTGCTGCAGGGTTTCCACCTGGTCCACGGTGTACCCACCTCAACAGCTTGCTCTTGTGTTATGCAAGAGCGCATTGAGTTCTTTCAGTGCTCTTCTTTTAAAGTGCACCATGTGTATGAATCGTGGGATTTTGGTATTTACATCCTCAGGCATTATTTAAACAAGCCAGCTGATGCAGCAGCAACTCAGATCTTTAAAAAAGAAAAAGGTGGATATAAATCTAATAAACAAACAATTTCCCTTACTTTAACCCCATGATTTTTGGTGCTGTAGCACTTTTGTCAGCACAGGCAGAGTTGCTCAGATCCGTTTGCCTGGTTGCCTCTGATGACTAAGAAGCACTTCCAGATGGCTAAGTGGGAAAACTTTTGCCATTGGAATAATTTATTTATTTTCTTTTGGGATGTCAGTTTGTGTGTGTGCGTGGGCAGGCGGCATTTCTGTTTTCTTTTGCATGCTCGTAACTTTTGCACATATACTTTCAGAGCAGGTGTAATGCGTACAATCAGATCCTTTCACCGCCATTGTGTGACAAGCAGTCCTAGGAAAAGACAGTAATTTCCCCCCCCAGACTAAGGGGTTGTGCTATTTTAGGCTAGGAACAGACGGAACGGGGAAGGGATCATTGCTTTCAGTTCTGCTAAGCAGCATTTTGCAGGTTTTGGGGATTTCAAAAACCTATGAACCTGTTGTACCAGAGGCAACATAGGCACTAATTAAATATGGATCTCTTGTGCATACTTTTTGGAATTTTTTTTTTTTTTTTTTTTGCCATGGGAGATCTGTGAGGCAGGACAAAACTCTGCCGGTGACAGGCCACAGTTATCCAGGATAGGTTTCAGGCTGAGGCAACAGAGATCTCTAGTGCAGTGATTGTGGTAAAGATCACAAGAACAAGCAAGAAGGAAGACGGCTGGCAGAAAGCTTTGAGCAGACTGCCGGCACTGGCGTGAGCTTTATGTACAGCTGCAGACCTATGAGCCCTGCCTTGCCTGGGTGAGCTGCAGCTCCCAAAAAGGACACATTCCAGCTGGGAGCACAGCAGTTCTTCAGCATGCTGGGGTTGCTTTGTGGGCCTGCAGACAACCTCGGCAAGCAGGACTGAGATCAGTCAGCACTGCTTCCACAAGGTACATGCAGAGCCTGGAAAGTCGATGGAAGGCTGCCTGGGGAACTCCGGTTGTTTGCTCAGATGGATTTGGGCCTGGTGGTGCTGCTTCGCCTCTTGTCTCCAGATTTAGGCTGCTGGGCCATCAGGTCCATAGAGCTCCTTCTAAGTGCTTGTCTTCCTCCATGCTGGTACTGAGGTCTTTCAAGGCATCCTGCTCCCCTGTCAGTGGCCCAATTGCTGGAAAATGTTGCCACACCGACTCTGGTTAAAATAACAACTGCCTGGCTCCAGTCGCACACAGCTCCTGGCTTCTGTTGCGGGGTTATCTCGTATTTTTCCGGGATTGTTGCTGCAGCAGCAATGGTTAAGCAAGGATCGCTGGAGCGTCTGTGTTTGTTCCGCAAGTCCGTGCTGTCGTTGTCTTTCACTGGGCCACGTGGTACAATTTGCAGAGTTGCAGCCGATAACATTGGCCAAGCGGGAAAAGCATGGAAGCAAAGCATGGAAGTTCGTAACCGAGACTAGACTGTTGCCGGTGCGAGTCTTCTGAGGACAAGCAGAGCTGGTGGTCATCCAAAGTTAGGTTCTCAGCGTCCCCCAGCTTCCATCTCCCTCCATCTCCTCCTCTTTCCGCCACGAACTGCACTTCCTGAAGCGGAATAAGTCCATTCTAAGGACACAGCACAGCTCTGGGAGGAACTGAGTTCTGCAGCTGTGCTTGTGGGCACCCATGGGTGAGGTGAGGAAGGGGCTTGCGCCCAGTGAGGTTCGGATATGGCGGGTGGGAGCCGCGCGGCAGTGTGTGCTGGCCAGCACCTTCCCCTTTCTGCCGGGCAACAAAGGACGCCTTTTCCTTGGTTCCTGCTGCCTGCGCTACTGCAAATAGCTACACCCAGCAGCCCTCAGCACCTTAGCAAGGCTACTGTAGAGAATAATTATGAGTGTTTTGTCTGTGTGTGAGAGACGGCGAGTTGCAGCCCTCTCCCAAGAGGCAGAAATTATGTGCTGGATTCAGTTTCGGGCTGGAACTAAAATAAATTTTGAACAATGAACTCCTTTGTTCATTTGTTCGTTCATTCATTTGTTCGTTCATTCATTTCCTTTATTTATTTAGTGTTTTATATCTCTTTTTTTAAAAAGTTGTAGGACAGAAAAAATGATAGAAGACAATCACATTCAATCAAAATAAATAATCAAATGAATTAGAAATTAAAGGTTAGCAGAAGGTACAGCTATAAATGATAATATCAATGAATTTTAATAAAATCTGTGGAATCCACAATATAATGCCTAACAGGAGTACAGCCAAGCACTCAGAATAAGGGGAGCGACACAGAGTGATGTTCTGAAACCAAAACCCAGTGGGTCTCCTGAAAGTATTTGGAGGAGAAAGTATCTCATAGTGTAGGGGCCACCTCCAAGCATATCCTGCCCCTTCAGCCAGCCCTCCTAGGGTTGGGCATGGAGGCACTTAGGGGCAGAGTCCCGGCCAATAACCAAAACATGGGGAAAGGAAGCGGATTTCTTGCCTTAAACGTACTGGCATGTTACTATGACATTTGAGGCTTGCTACAAACGCCGTGAGTTTCTGCCTGCCCACGTTGTGTGGCCCTCTCCAGTCCGTCGGCTGCTGAGCACAGCCTGGAGACGGGGCTGCCCTGGTGCTGGAGGCATTTGGGAGGGTGAAGCAAGCAGCGGGTGCTGGCGAACAGGTGCCGGTAAAGGCCCAGCACTTCAGGACCTGGGAGAGCGCCAAGAGAGCGCCCTGAGTCTTGGCGCAAAAGCTGTGACTGAATGGCTGGGCCTTATGCTTTAAATGCGTGTTTTTGCTAAAAGAGGAGCCCTGAGAGCTCAGGGGCAGTTTGCTGTGGGGCGCAAAGAATCAGAACCCCACCGAACCTGCCCTGCCTTAGTTTGGTTCCCACTGTTCTTCTCACAGACCTTGGCCACCCTCCACCGGGTGCAATGTAAAAGGCCTAGCAAAAGCACTGTTTATTCTTCATTGCTTCCTGTTTTGGGTAGCAAGAACAAAGGACAAGGTGATAGGTCTCATGGGTTCACAATTGTTTTTGCCCCCAAGGGAACACCTCGCTCATCCTGCCAAAAGCCTAGAATACACAAGAATACTTTGTGAGCCAGAGAGCAAGACTAGACGGGTCGTTCTTTCTGCCTTCATCGGCCTCGTGGCTGTAGGGACGAAGGGGGCTCAGCCATCGGCCGATCAGTCCATAACTGCCAGGCCATTCCACAGGGATGCCACGCTTCCTCTGGAGCAATGCAGCCCTTACTTCTCGTGAAAGATGCATAAACGGGAATGCTGCACTGAGCTGCTTCTGAGCAGACCAGCTCTGGGTGCCTTCTGATAGATATTCCCAAGCAAAGACGGCCGGGTGCTTTCAGAACTTGTCCCTGGCTTCCCGCGGCTGCTTTTCCACGTGGATCTGGTCTTTCTGGTTGTGTGTGTTCTCCCGTCCCACTGCTCATCTTGGAGAGACTTGATTCTCTTTGGAATGGGAGGTGTTGCTGGAAGAGGAGAAAGTGGGTGCAAAGGATCGCTTTTGTGAGTGATTGCATGTCTCTGCTGCCCCTTTGCATGCATTGTGCTTCGGTTTTCTCTTCTGTGAAATGGGTGACTAAGCGTTGGGGATCCAAAGACTGCTCTCTGCCCATTGGCTGTGTTTCTCGTGTGCCCTGGATGCTGCCTTTTGTGGCACCTTGGCCCCATTCCTGCCTCATCCATCAGATTGGCCTCCACCCTCCACGGGGGAAGGGTTACCTTGGTCGCTTTTCATTACCTGCCCATGGTCTTGGTGGGATGGGGACTGTGTTCCCCCTCCACTGCTTGTCGCCGCTTTGGCAGGAAGCATCCTGCCGTCAACGCTGGCTGGCTGAGTGCGTGGCATCATGCTGCCAGGGCTGCCCGTGAAGGTGCTTGGCCTTCAAGTCGGTGCTTCCCCCTGGGAAATGGCCAGAAATGAAGGGAGGGCATTCGAGCCGATCCTCAGTTGGCACCATGAGGGTAAACCCCTGGTAGAAGGAAAACCAGCTTCTGCTTGTATTTCAAACTGCATTGGAGTTGCCCTCCCTGCTTCAGACAAGCCGAGCTGTGCCGCCTGGGGCTCCTGGATCCTCATGGGCCAGAGGGAGAGGCGAAAAGCAGAAGGCGAGGAAAGAAGATGGCAGAGGCGGATGGTGGATGGGTTCTCTGCTGCCTCTTTGAGTACCTTCCATGGTGGGATGTTGGGTCACGATGGCTTCATTGGGCAGGCAACTTGGTCGCCCAGAACTGGGCACTCCAGAGGTTGGCATGTCACTCTGGACTCTGGTCATATCCTGCTGCCGACTGAAGCCAGGTGGAGCCTGGGGGGGGGGTGTGGGGGCAGCAGTATTGCCACCAGTCAAAGCCTGAATTTCCCACAGGAAGCGTTCACCACCCACGGTGTGTGGGATCAGGGGACCTTTACCTGATGAAAAAGGATCTCTGGCATTTCTGCGTCGCCGGCATTAATATCGCTCCTCAAGTCTCAAGCAAAGGTTTTCTTTTCTTTTTTTTTCTTTTTGGACCTGAATGGTTAAACAGTGCAGAAAGGAGTGGGTAGTTACCATGACTAAATGGAAGTGTACAGCTAAAGCAACATTGCTCTAAAAACAATCTTCTATATTTGGGTTCAAGATTTTTATTTTTACTGTGTT